CCGGAACCGAGCCCGAGCCGAACTCATACTCACCGAACCCGAACCCGAACTTGAACAATGAAATCGAACTCGAACTCGAGCCCGAACCCCGAACCGTTCGCACCGAACTTCCGAACGCTAGTTCGGGCTCGTTGCATGCCTAGCTGCAACTGTAAATTGTCAGCGCCTTTTATATTATCGAGGTTTGCGGAGCCCTTTTCTATTGTTTCACAATAATTTGCAATTTTATTTCCAGTTGATTGTGAACGAAGAAAGAAAAAAACTCAGCCGGAAGAAAAGCGACCAATACGCTTCTAGGGAATATAATTTTGTTCGTTCTCATTCTTCCTCTCTCTGATTGATGAAGGCAACAGACACGTGCATGTAAAGAAGAAAAATCTTTATATAAAATTGAAATTTTTTAATTGCCGCGAAGCTCATTGTACTTACGCAATCCACAAAGCGAGACTACCATTTGAGAAAATTTACCATTGCAGTGTTTTTCTGCAAAAATTAATTCTGTATAGGGTTGCGAGGTCTCCTTTTACGGTATTTTAATAATGAATAATACGGGTGCTGAGTCTGCTACAGCAGGAGATTGATCACATAAAGAAAGTGCCTACCGTAAGGTATAGAGATTCACCAGTGGTTCTTTATTACAGATGGTAATAATGAAATCACGACAAGTGACGATAACCAAAACGAAACGAAAGATGAAAAATAATAGAAAAAGAAAAACAACATCTCATAATTATTTATATGAGAAAAATCAAACGACGCAATATAAGATGAAGGGTAGGTCAAAAACGTGAAAATGTCATCAGTATCTCATGATGATCAATCAACTGGACAATTCGGATAGACAAATCAACAAAAGAAAAAATTCAAAACAAAGTTGAATCTTTACTGTTACTTCGAAAAGGAATAAAAGATTGTTTATACAGTAGTGTGCTAAGCTACCATGATATCGATATTTCATCTCAGCAACGAGACTTTTCAAATGGCACCCGTAATGAATAATTTCCAAAGAAAATTTCTAAGTACGCACTAGGATGATTGCTTTATAGATAAGTGTAAGATACTGCACCTACAAAGTGTGATATCCGAAAAAGAACGTGAATTCTACGTTGTTCAGTATCTTACTGACTGTTTATTTTATTATATAAAATAAACAAACGAAACAATAACGTATCATATTTCTAATAGAATATAATAAGGAATGACAATAGAGGCAAAAAGGAATGACCATAGAGGTCAGTTCCTGACACCCTCATTCTGCAGAGAGTTTTTCAAACAACGAGAGAAAAACTTGTAGAGAGAAAAGAAAATCAACCTCCCAACAAAAGAAAAGCTTTGACTAGAAGGAAAAGAAAACCAAGTCAACAACAAGAAAAAGAAAACCAAGTTTACCACAAAAAAAAGGGTGTGGGTGTGGGAGAAAAAATATCAACACCCGCACCCTCACCCTCACACACCCCACACCCACACCCACACCCACGCGTAACTGCGGCACAGTTGATAAAAAAGAGGCGACATGGGTGGACGAACAACATTGGATGTGAATCAAATGAGGCCAGAGTGGCGAGCCATATGACCAGACCACAACATATGACGCAATGTTCGACATGTTGATGAGAGTTGAGCAATGTCCGAAATTGATAAGTATTCACAAACAAAAACCAACATAAATCGGGAAATCTTGTTGTCTTTTGTTCTGAATTAACGTTTTAAAAAATATTCCTATGGATAGATTGACCTAATGAAAATAGGTTATATAGAAGGCGTAGATTAAAATTTAATTATAGATCAAAAATATTGATATCAAAACGTTTCAACCAGTACAATCGGTCAATAATAATGCCAAAAATTTTACGAAGACCTTTTCCAATTGTTTTAGTTTTTCGAATCCTTGAATCAAAACAAACAAAATAAATGAAAAATTAGACAAATCTTATTCGCAAGTTTCAATCTGAGGATAGAAATTTGTTTGGTTTAATCGATTTATTCTCATACTGTAGTACAGACTTTTGTTCATCTTAATTGTGACGACCTACGATGGAATCATCCCCGTTGATAAAGAAAGATTTTAACCTTTAATATTGTCTACGAGTAGAACATAATATATAGAATAGAACATGGCTAGAATGACTTTTGCGAGTTTCTATTTGTCCTATTGATATATGGGACTAAGGTATCGAACATTATCCAGTTTTCTTTAAGAAGCCTCATGTGTTGCAACAATTAAATACATTATTGACTCAATGCATAATAATATTGATTGATTGAATGAGACTGAATCGGTCACCCATAAATTTTAATGAAAATTCGAACAAATTTAAGACAAGAAACGGCGATGTTTCCTTTTTCAATAGTTGATCCTCAAAATCGACCCAGGAGATAAAGGTATATATCTAATTTTCATTATGAAGAACTTGTTTAACCAGTAGACGAGACACATTGAACGGACGTCAGTTGGATTTATTGTTTCGAATGGTACATAACTTGTTTTTGGGTGAGATCTAACAGTACTCATTTATGAAAAAGAATAAGTGAAGTAATTTGAAAATGAATAATAAACATACATATTAAATAGTAAAAGAAGAACTAACCTTGAACTTGTTTCAATAGATAATGGATGTTATGAAATTATATCTAATAATTCCGTGGTAGAAATATTAATAGTGATTGTCAATTATATACTAACATGAGTGGGAACAAATCTTGCTCAACGAACTTATTGATTCCATAGGGGTGCTACTTGTTTAAATATTTTATTTGATTGTAGTTTATTTTTGATTTCGAATATCAGATGAAGCAAAAATTGCTTTTTCTTTCACCTGCCCCTTGCATGATCATATTTATATCAAAAACTACACTCTAGTAGTTTTTCCCCTTTCATTCGCGAAGAATATCGAAAATTAGAAAGAAATCAAGTAGTTTTTGTAGACTGCTAATTGTTTCAGAATGTTGCTTTTTATCTGAACATTGTTTTATTGTTACACAACTCAATGCGTTACTAGTCTAGCCACTACTACAAGTTTCTGCTTCATCATATCTTTCGTCATTATTGAGATCAATCCAGACATTCACGTCTTGAACAAAGCTATAATTCTTATTATATGGAGCCTTAGCAGATGGACTAATGTATCATTACAACAACTATAAGTCTCTTAAGATGTTTAACTAGAGAAACAAAAGCAAAGTGATATCGTTTTTTAATACTCGATTTACTTACCTATTTCACTCACGCACCCACACCTAATCCATACTGTTCTTTTCGGAAAGTTCATACGAACTCCGGGATGAATTTCCACTCTCTTGAAAATGAGCTATTGATATTCATGTTTCGATTTTCTTCAGCAAATCTTATTTCGAAAAGCAAGCATGTTCTATATAATAGAAATTCGACGAATAAATTATAAAATTTTGAAAATGTTTCAGTTTATTTAAAGTAGACTTTCTACAAAATAAAAAAAAATTACAATGTGTCGAATTTTTCGTTGATTCGTGCATTCCGTCATTTTTTTTATTTCATTCTGTTGGTCAATTTTTTCTCATTGAGTCAGTCATGTTTATTGCATTTCGTCGATGGAATACAATAAATTGACTTGTATCAGTCAATTTTTTGTTTTCCTTTGTCCTCGAGAGATGGCAATAGATATGGTATGAAAAACTAAGTTGATAATGAAAGAGAGTAAAGTATTTTAGTTCTGCCGCAGCAGAGTGACAAAAAAAACGATATGTAGCGGAAGCTACCTTCAGATAATGCATGTTTTCTTCTCTATCCATATTTTTAACGAATTATAAGATTAATTCTTTTTTACTTCCATTAGATTGCAACAACTACTGCTAATATCCATGATCTTGATGCTGAAATCAATGTAATTAGAGAACGTATTAAACAAGGTATAGCTATGACGGAAGGTGAACTTGACGTTTACCAGCCAAATGTTGTTCGTCGAGAAACACTGCACGACCAACTTACGACAATGCGTGTTGGTGAGTAACAGCTAATTGATCCATAGTATATATACGTCGTCTCAACATTTAGAATGTAATCGACCTTAATAAAGACATGCGATGTATTCATCTATTTTGTTTCTCTCATTTTTCTTGTGATTGTCTTCTGTTGATAGTTTATATTCTACAATAAACAACATACATTTAGGAAGCAACATCAACAAAGAAAACTAATCGTATTTTCTATTATCAATGACAACAAGAGAAATATGTTTTATAGAAACATTCATTTAAATAAGTACTTCGACATAAATAGTACCAATGAAAGAAGAAAATAATTTCTCTATTCAATCAAATGGACGTTCATTAAAGCTTGAATTAATTGGTGGTTCAATTAAAGAAATTAAAAATGAAACGCCAATTGATCTATATGATTTACGACATATAATATATCATGATCTTAAATTTGTTAAAATATATTTTATCAAACAACGGCATTTACAAAAATAGATAATCATATTACAATATTATCACCAATAAATTATTCATCAAATGTTATTGCATATGTTAACTTAATTTTAACCTCCACTTGAGAGATTCAAACGGGAGACGGTCAGTTGCTCGCCGGGTAGTTGCTCGTATATATACTTGCTCGCTATGACTAGCAGCGCGAGCCAGTGTATATACGAGCAACTGTCCTGCGAGCAACTGATCTAGACCCGAATGCAGAAACTAACATACTCTTTATATGTTCCTTGTGCAAATAGTCAGTTCCAACACTGCTTAAACATTGTGTAAGGTGAATAACTTATCCGTTTGATTATTTAATAATTGATATTCAAATGAACTAAAGAGCAAGATAAAGACAACGTCCTTCTCTAGTGTAAAAGAATGGCATATGAATTTTTCTTCTATCATGCGAAATGTTTTGGCCTATGTCTTATGTAATTGATAGTCAAAAAGATACAATTCATTCTTCCGTAATCGCACTTGAACCTTTCATTCATATGATTGTCTACCTCATCGATTTGCGTTCTATTTATGCTTATTTGTTTTGAATAATGCGAAGGAAAAGAATAAGAAATTTAAGTAAAATTATTCCGTGTCAAATTTGAACTAGCTTAATATTCTATTCTACCAAGTGAGAACTTAGTCATATTTATTTCAAAATGTGGGTGTGTAGTTGGTGGGATCATCTAATTATTATTTATTCGTAATTCCTTTTGCTAGCTGCTGCTCGTATTGGAATTCTTCGTCTAAAATAGAAGCAATGAATAACTGGCGACTTTTCTTTACTAAACTTTCTCAATCATCCAACTGATAAAAATACTAATGTAGCGATTGATTACTATTATTTAAGTTCAATATAGTTAGCATATACTATATTAAATGATTATTCTCTTCTAATAATTTACTAAAAATGATCTCAATTACCATCAAATATCGTACAACAACTTGTATTAATGCAGCAAAAAGAAGGAAACATTGTTTTGTAATACATACATATAAGTTATTTTTATAGAATCCAAACTATTGCCCATGAGTCGATTTTCGTCATACACTAATTGAATCTAAACGGTAAGAATAATTCATTTAAAATCGACTTGTCTATGTTTATCATTGATTGAAATTAAGAATAATGATAATTTAATATTCACTTGTGAAAAAGCAGCACAGTAGATTTTATTATCAGCATAATACGCAGACAAAGCATATCGAATTACACTTTTAGTTTTTCTCGAAACAGTAACTATAAGATTAAATCATCGAAATACTACGACCAATTCAATTGACAGATCATTATTAGTGGCGTCACCATCAAAAAAATATAGTCATTAAGTTCAAAAATTTGTCTGCATTTTTTTCGTCAAATCTATCTCCTTGCAAAGTTATAGCAAATGCATAAATCGTATTTCCATTGTGCATTATATAGCCGTGGATGCAGTAGTTTGTAAGACAGATATCTCGAAAATTCGACATGTACTAAAAAAAACAGACTTCACCAAGTGTTACAAAACTGTTTAGAGAAACTACTGTCTTCATCTCATCTTCCGGAAAAGTATTCCCCATTTGACAATGATTCGATGATTCATCCCGATTGTGACCTCATACGAGCATATGTTTGATATTCATATCTAACGCACTCTCTATATTATTGGTGTACACAAAAATAATTAGTCCTTACAATTTGGACGGCAGTTGAGAGCAAAGAAAAAAGAAAATGTAATAAGAAGCAGCACCATCGCGTTCCAGTTGAACGAGTGAACGAAAGGATAAATGCGTCGATTATATATTTCTACAAATATAATGAATATGTAATAACAAACAAAAAAATGACTCTTACGTTTGAATCATTACCGAATGAAATATGGCTTAGTATTTTTACTTATCTACCTTCACGCCATACTTGGCGAGCTTTTTTTGGTATTAATAGACGTTTGAATCAACTACTGACTTCTGATCTTATTCGTCATACTATCGACTTGAAAGATATATCTTATTCTGAAATAGTTGAACTACTTGACGAACGTGATAATAATAATTCACATGATCATCGATGGCAAGCAGAATTTGTTTCTCATGCTCACGCGATTTGTCTTGAAAATAAATTTGATTATGAGATACTAATCGATCGATGGATAGCTACAAAGACAAATTGGAAATTATCATCTCTACGAATTATTTATATTTTACCAGAAGCTATAACAAGCATTTATTCATTACTTCGAGAACTTAAATTTACAATATTTCTCGAATCACAACTTCATTATCTTCATCTTGTTTTTGACGATCCATGTTACACTTATCATTCTATTTTGTCAGAAATCGTTGAAAAACGTATTTCATATCCAATTATGATACTTGAAGTAACAAGAGGTTCGTATACAAGAGATAAGATTATCAAATAATTCTGTCTCTCAAACTGAAGTCTTATCTGCTTAACAATAATGGATATTTACAGTAAATGTATTTTTAGGACATCAATATCAACGTTGGGAACGTAGAGAAGACTTGTACAATATAAAACATCCGCTGCATTGGATACACACTGTACGCTTGACTCTTAGTTTACAACATTCATCTGAACTTATTCTTCTCTTCATGCCTGCAGCTTTACCATTGCTTGAACATTTAAATGTAACTATCGAACAGCCACGAAAGGATTTAATATCTAAAAGAGGTCAATCAACAGAACGTTTTGAATTGTGCGAAAAAGATCTCCGTTGTACAACTGCTACTGGTACAAAACTTCGATCATTTGTCTTACGGCAAATAGAACTCGATGATCTTTTGATTTTATTCAATACACTCAGCTTTCCTCTGCTTCACACACTCACATTGGTTGATATACATGATAAATGTAAGTGCAATGAAATAGTTTTAGTCTTCAGTCTTTTTTATGCGAGAAATAGGTAAAACCATAATGATAGAAAGCGAACCGAACTGTGAAATTTCAGATTGCCTGAATCTATCAGCTACGAGTTTTAAGTCGTTGTATAATATACCAGAAGAAATGCTCTTGTTTCTTTGAAACAAGTCTCTAGTTTGAAGTATAACGAAAGATAAAAGGTGTATAAATTGAAGTTACGTTTAAACTAGGATCCAACTATTTCAGATCGTATTGGCTACTGTTTAAAACATTTTCGAATATTTATTAGCTGTTTGAAACAAGAGAAAGAGTAGCATTTAGCACTTTTAGTTTATGTTTTATTCGATTCATTGCATTGAAAAGTGATAATATGCAAAGAGATGTCAAAATTATGATGTTGTGGTTTTTTGTTTAGCTTTAGATAATTTGCTAGCTTTTCAACAATCGGTTAGTCCTACAAATTTACCTTCTCTTAAACACGATCAATTTCAATTTTTGCTTCGATTTCCTGCTGAGTACGAGCATGAATGGATTCATAGATATCATAATAATGGATGGCCATTTGATAATGTTAGTTTTCATGTAGATGAACATCTTGTGGAACAGCTCAGTTATTCCTCTCCGTTAGATATTATTGAAGCTGTATTTATTGTCTACTCTGTTCCTTCTGATATATTGAAACATATGCGCACTGTACACAATTATGAACTTTTTACTCGTCATTCAACGATAATTCGAAAAGACTTTGTTTGTCAAAACATGGAATGGCTATGCAAGTGGACAAACAATGAAATCCAGTTAATTACAAGTCTTAAAACAATGAGAAACATCGAGGCGCTTCGTTGTTTTTGTGTCGGAATAAATGTAAGTCATCATTTTCATCAGGACATACATAATTGTTCTCATTGTTAATTTTTATTTGTCGTGGTCTTTGGTTTACATTAACAGTTTCCTTTTATATTCCAAGTTTTAAATAGAAATAAGGATGCAAGAAGCAGTGTTTTATCCAGCGGGACCGGGCCCTCCTGGAGATTATGTTGGCTCTCTCCGGAAAAATTTGAAATATCCTACGGAGAGAAAAATATCACATACAATACCGAAAAACGTAATCTTTTTCATAAATGATGACTCTTAATAATTAGTGTTCATTGTTTTTCTTATAATTCTACTAGTCTAGAGTTTTAACCAGTTTTAATGGTGGCGAGTAGGACCTAGTATCGATTGACTAAAAGAGCTCGATAAAGCACTGTTATGGGACTAACAACCTATTATCATGGGTGCGGTTTCAATAGACTGAAGTCCATTATAATTCACCATATGCGGCGTATTTTACTTAACGCCGGTTTCGAAGGAAAATCTAATGCAGACTATTATTGTGTTGTTAGAGATGCTATGGAATACGTACATGATTTATTATTTACAGTGTTGAGCAAAAAGAATGAAACAAGTGTTCTTTTATTGTCTATTCTTTGATTTATGTTTGGTCTCCATTAGAAAATCAGTATCATCCTATACTATAATGTTTTTTCGTTCAATTTTTTACGACCAAACACGTATTTTGGTGAATATGATTCAATAATAATGTTTTAGTAATTTGAATTAGCGTCGAACTTTCTCGTTGTACATCACTATTTCTAAATTTTTCAACGGCACAGGAATTTTCTGTTTAAAAGTTGAGATGAGAAGTATTTCCATCATTTACTATCTATTTTATCTTCTGGATAATATTAAGATGAGAAAATTGTCTTACAAAGCTGTCAACTAAGAAAACTTTCGCTTGCCCCTCCGAGAACTAAATTCGCCCTCCCGGAGCAAAAAACCTGGATAAAATATTGGCAAGAAGTAGACAGATTATGTATCATTTGAAATTTTAGAATCAACCAGAAATTTTCATAACTCCAACACACGCTAATTTATGCCATCATCTTCGTTCGTTGACGTTTCGATTCAAGCAGCATGTTTCCTACCAGAGTTCAACGCACTATTCACCATTGCAAATAATTCTGGACGTATCACCTCATCTGTCCTATCTCAATGTGAGATGGAGAGATCTTTCTCACTGTTCTGGTAGGTATCCAATGATCACACATGTTCATCTCACCATTTATGGATGGGAACGTAGAGATTTTTCTGCAAGTCGATTAAGTATACTCATACCTAAAGTGCATTATCTCGCTATTGGTGGGGAACATTTGATAAGAGAAAAACAAATGGTCGATTTTGTATTGGAATTGCTGATCGATAAGGCTCATTTTCGTGAATTAATACTACTACAAATAAATAAAAATGATAATGCCAGACTTAAACCCCATGTAAAAGCAAATACTAAACAAGCAATTATAGAAAAGATCGATCGCCTACAAGACTCAACTATGACTCAAATTGAATTTTCTTACCACAACCAGCTGAGTATTTGGCTTTGCTAAGAGAACAATTTCTTATTGTTATTCTGTTTTTCATTAGACATTTTGTCGATTTTTTTGTAACAATAAACTTGTTTAATTTGTTTTTCAAATAGACATATCTGTTAGAATTTTCTATTGAAAAAGGGTCATAGATCATCATCAAGTGAAGACTTCCAGATCGGTAATAAAGAAATTTCTGATGGATACAATCGATTCTATTTTGCAGAATATAAAACTTCAAAAAGAGAAAAAAAGTATACATTTTTGTCTATTTATATGCGGAGTAACATGAATTGTAAAATTCAATGATATGGTCAATACAATAGCGAGAATTCGTGTCCAGGGTTTTTATTTGTTGACTATCTATGAGTTGATTTGAATGCATAATATGATAGATTGACACGTGTGGAGGAATATATATCCACGAAAGAAAGACGATAACGTCAATATATACAACGATTTGTTTTGTTTATTTCTGAATTTACATTCAAACTACTTTTTGAAATATATTTCCATATTGTTAAACAATGACTACCAGCTCTACCNTTTTGTATAATTCATACAATTTTAACTTTCAGCAGAAACGCTGGAATTTTGAAGATTGAAGTTGAAGTTAGAAACTTCTAAGTGAAAAAGAGTAGATTTAGCTTTCAGAGATGAAGAATTTTGAACGATAGATAAATAACAGATCCATACTTTTAAGAAAATCACCGTTGGGCTTAAGTATCGAAGAATGATAAATATAAAAACAGAAGATTTACATTTGAACACAGACTAACAATAATGAAAAATATGAAAACAAAAATGTAATGTGAAACAAAGACTAATGTAAAATTTAAAAGCCAACATCTTTTATTTTCATATATAAACGACGATTTCGGGTCTTGTTCGGTCGGTCTCAGGCTAGATACAGGAGTAGGTCAACGAGTATATATGTATATTCCTATTATTGCTACTGAGAATAATTTATAACAATGTTTAAACGTCAAATAGTAATGCACACGAACTAAGATAATAATTAATTTTTAATAAACTATGTAATAATAATAGGTTTACTCTTAATCAAATTTGACGAAATCAAAATATATTCAGGTTCTAAGCTCCATCAATATTTTATATATGAAAATAAAAAAGATTTTGATTGAAAAAAGCACTACATTACCATTTTTGTTTTACATTTGATTTAAACTAATTTCAGCGGAATAAAATATCTTGATCATATTGGAGAACGAACGTTGGACGAACAGTTCTGAATCTTGCTCTTTTGAATTATTTGGATGCTAAAAAGTTATTCAATATAAATGTTGAAGTATTTTTCTATGGAAAAATTCACCTCACTAGGGCTTATCAGACACATAAGAAGAAAACACTCGATACATGCTATATTTGTTTGATACATATTTATATTGCTAGAACATCTTTAGAAGGTTTCAGCATTTTTATTTTCCTTCTGAATTCTTAGTTTTAGCATGCCAAAACCTTGTTCAATATGAATCTAAAAAAGAAGACTATTCTGTACAATAAAAACTCTGTATCTGACCAGGAACACATAAAAATATTACTCAAAATTTGTTTCGTACTGGATGCTTTTTTTATCAAGGTATCTACCTTTTCCTTCATTCTATCAATTCTTATTCAATTTAAGTATAAGATAAAAAAGAATACTGCACTTGATTGTTATTACAATTTCTTTTATCGTAGGCACTGCAGAAGAACAAAAATATCACTCTGACTCAATCACTCATTTTAAAACAATTATGTCAGATGTAAATGCAACTGAATTATTTGATGATGACGCTAAAGATCTGATCAAACGAGTCACCGATATTGAAGCAGAAGTGCAAGATGAGTCGGACGATGAAGCTACGATGTTTGGTCTGGAACTATACGATTCATAAGGTAGCAAATATCAAGACAATAAATCCCGGTCAAGCGGATTTGTTTTTTTTTCATATTAATTCCGGTGCTCATCTTTTAGCTGTGATTAAAATTGCCAGAGAGAAGAACAGAAAAAAATAAGGCTTTTAAGAAATTTTGAAATCGAGATGATCGCTCTCTCCACATATTAAACTAAAAAAAGATCTTTTGAAAGAAGGCTTCAAAAATATGACTATCAAACATGCGAGAATGGAAGATCATCATCTGTCGGTTGATTTGGTAATAATTTATTGAACAAAAGCTAATATTTTGTCTACGAAAACACGTTGAAAAAGTTGTTTTAATGAATTCTCATTCTTGATCTTTCATGAGAAACAAATTAATATAAAGCAACTCATCGCATTTCATTAAAAAAACTTTTTAACGTATTAGCATGAGCCAAAATGTGAGATCTTTTCAAAAATTTGTACATGAGTTTTTTGTTTAGTATTTCGCTTGTCAAGTTAAACTAACCTTTCTTTTACTACTATTTAGTTCATTTTCTTCAAACACAAATGTAACAACTACAACATCTTTTGAATGTCGTCAGCTTGCGGTTGTAATTAAATTTTTTTTAAATCTCTACTTTGATGACTAAAAAAAAAGAACTAAATAAAATAAAACATACATTTTTGCTTCATTTCGATTCGACTGGCTTCCACAAAATTTGAATTTTGACTAGTATCTTCATTTTTTTGTAATCAAAGAGAATGTTACTTTCTCTGGTCATCATTTCTAAATTTTGTGCGATTCTAAGATAATTTGCTCAAAATCACAAAACATTTAACTACAGTCTTTAGTTCCAATTTGAATAGCTCTTTTACTGGTATTCTCGATCTCGATCCTACACATCTTCATTCAAGGGCAATTAATTTTTTCTAATCTACGAACTAATTACGTTAGAAACGATCTATTTTGATACCAACCTTAATTTCATCTGTTGCGACAAATTATCTTCGTGCTATTTGAAAACAATAATGAATGATTTTACAGAATAGAATTAAAAATGGCTATTTGATCTTGTCTATAAATATTTTCTCTATTAAACTCTCAGAAATAAAAATCCAATCATAAATAAAAGTAACCCTAGTAAAAGTTAAAAAAAAGTTATTTATTGAATAAAAAACAATGTTTGAACAAAATAATATTATAAAACAACGTCAAAGATTATTAATAATGTTCGATTATTTATTGTCACATTTAACATTGAACTTATATTTCTTTTGCATTTATATACTGTTGATTAATATTAAACTACAGTTTGATATTTGTGATATTCTTGATAAATGTTCTTGTTTCATTTGTTCAAGTCCAACCGATTGTTTTTATGCAATTAATAATATCAACCGATAAACAAAATAAACATCATTTAAATAAATAATTTTAAATCTTATATTCTCCATGTTGTATATAGATTCAAATCCCACTGTAAATGATGCATCATTTGAACGAAGATGACGAACTAGATTGTATTTGAAAAAATTTATGTATATCGTACGCCGTACATGATAATGATCACTAGCTATTGTTGTGCAACTTCTTGTTTTTTAATCTTGATACATATAAATTGGAATAGTAAAATGTCTAGAAAATGGTTATTTATAACTTTATAACAATCTTGTGAACACTCATAATCAGCTGCAAAACCATCGTATACGATCATGTTAATGATGATGGTTGTTATTGATGTTGAATCATTTAAAATATGATGTTTACGTAAAGTATTTTAATGAAGTTGTTTATTAATAAGATGAATGATGAACGAAGATAAGCTAATTTTGCATTTGTAAGGCGATAGTCAATTATTTCATTAGAAAAACGATATGAAAGTCAAGATATATACATAGGTTTTTATCCTGTTTTATTTAATGCGACAATCAATAGATGGACATATATCTAAAATATTTATTATTTATATTCAATATTTTATAACACTTGATCTTATACTTAATTCAATACTTGCATATTGTGGAACGTTTTCGAAACAAACAGTGACTCGTTTCAGCACGACTTTAAAAAAAATTGTACGACTAATAGGATATTCTAAATAATTGCAAAATGAAAAACTCTAATTTGTTTAATAAAATAAATCTGCCATCAGAATTAACATATCTCTTTGAAAAAAAATCTTTCGATTCTGTTGATTCATTAATTATTATTGCAATAAATTGTGGAGTATCTCGTACAACTAATCCACTTGAAACTCTAATTTGAACAATAACGATATGATACTCGACAACAATCAATATCACATGGTTTAATATCGAAAGATATTTCAGTATAAAAAAAAGATTGATGTTAAAGAATAAATCAAAAGAAAACAGCAGATTTTAAGAGCGAAATCTATGCTTTTTCTCTCTCAGTATAAATACTATCCATGGCAGTGATATTCTTTTCTTGTCATTTGTGCAGGGTGTCTCATAAGTAGCAGTACGATAAGAATTTAAAAATTGTCCCGTAATTGTTCAACCAAATGAGCTGAAATATTTTGGATGATAGAGTTTGACATAGAATTTGTTTTCATAAGAACAACAGCACTCAAGACTAGTTGAAGCCCTTGTGATTAATTCTAATAAAAAAATCTAGGCATTTTCGATGTTCCAAAGTCGCTTGGACAGAGATAGTATACTATATGTGCATTTGTCTTCCAGTAAATGCACTTGATTGCCTTTTCTATTATCTCTCACGTGCTTGCTTTTTCGCCTACCTTTGAGTAGCACAACATATACAGTTATCTCTCGTATATTGTACAGTTGGGATTGGAGGAAGAGAAATTGCCATTATTTTTTATTACATTTTTCTGTTTTTTGTCTCTTCATGGTTACAAATGCGCTCGTTTTTTCTCTAACTGGCAGTCTTTATTACGAAGCTTCAAACTGCATATGGAGTGGCCAGCCATCAGTCACCCTTCAATGGGGAAGGTTCGAATTGCTTTTCCAACCAAGCAAAGGTTAAAAGTATATCATTTCACTCAGTTTTTTTGCGCTGATTACGAATTTCTGCTCAAAAATAATTTACAGTCACATTTTCATGATGAGAATTCAAATTAAAAAACCTTTCAATTTAAAATTTGATTCTCTGACCTCTGCATTTTTCTCAGAAATCCTGAAAACTACCTCATCTGATAGAGAATCAAATTCTCTACAAAACTCCACTCTTTGCTCCTATCTTTGGTCGAAAAACGTTTTTTTTTGATTTTCTGAAAAATATTTAGGTTGCTATCTTGTGAGCAGTTTTATGCTCAATTAATCTAATTTTGAAGCATGATTTTTAGTGGCATCAGGTAGAGGACACCTGAAACTAATTATCTATGTGCAAACCATAACTCTTTGAGTAGCACTGTCACTGAAAAACTACACACGAATGATCCCCAGAAAAGCCCAAAAATGGCGAAATTCCGCAACGGTCAGTATTTTCTGAATAACTCTACTGTGGCTAAAGAGAAACCGATAAAATTTCTACTGGCAACAAATCTAAACGATCTGAGGGTGCGGGTGTTGGTGTATCTGGGACGTGATGACATCCACCCACCTACACTGACACTCTCACACCCACACCCACACGCGTACGTTATCCATCAGAGATTTTAATACGTTCTTGTTGATCGCACGCACATGAAACTTGTAGATCGATATTGATCATGATTTTCTCCTCAATAGAAGCATTTTTTCCTAGAATCTCAATGCTTTTCTCTTCAATTCGAGCAGTTTTTCTTTCGATCCGAATGATTTTCTGTGCAATTTTGAATCATTCTCTTTTTCAGCACAAATGACTTTCGCTTCATTTGAAGCGTTTTCTGTGTGAACCGAAGTGGCTCTTATACTGTCAGTGTTTAATCATCTTCTCGAAATTTCAATAGTGTATGCTATAGTTTATTTAAAAAAAAATCACATGATGAAAATCGGCGAACTGGCTCATATAATCTTGTACGATGTATCTTTGCGTGGTGAACGAGCACTGGTTTATTTGAATACAAGAACAGATGGAAACATAATCGCGCATACGCTCACACACCCAGGCTGCTTTTAAGGTTTATTCGTGGTTTTCTCTGAAATAAAAATTGAAAGCGGGTTGAATAGTTTTCGTTTTCTCTGTATTTACTTTGTGTCTGGCGTAAAGATTCCAACTTTTCATCGTTGTAATCATGTTGGATATACTTGTTTGCAATCTGTTCCCAGGTCGATCAACTTGTGTCGTACGCGACCGTTTGACCATAATTTACGGTCGTTTTGTATCGTGTTATAAACGATCGTATACGGAAATATCCGACCACATTACGACCGTTAGTAAACCGTTAGTAAACCGTTTACCACACGATTAATTACGGCCGTAATACGGTGCATACAAAAACGTCAAATTACGGCCATTTACGGTGAGAAACGGCAGGAAACGGCAGTATACGACCGTTTCTGGTAGCCGTAATGCGCGATCTGGGTTGTTTCAGATCGTCTATCTGTTGTTGCAGAATTTTAATTTTGTTCTTTCGTTCTTCAATTTCGTTACCGATACAGTTATTGAGTCGTGTTAACATTGCTATCTAAACGAATAAAATGGCAGTGTTTTTGAGTTTATGCTGTGAATTAATATTACCTCATCCTGTACATCATTAGCTGTAGTCTCCATCACTGTTGACGCGACGTATTATTTGTTTACCTAAAATAGAATATTTTAATAGCTATCGATGATGAAAATGTGAACGCATTACGCGGTTAAACCTATTGTAACGAACAACTAGATTAGAGTAGCTTGTGCCACTCTCGGCAATGATTTTTATTAGGCTAATTCAAGTTATCCAAAGTGTAACGACAAAACTAGAGTGTCGCCTATGCCCGTCGGCATGATGGTGTATTGTATCATCTGACATCTCCAGAGTGTAACAACTTCATACATGACACACGTATATATAGGAGAGAGATACATTAGAACAATGGAAAGAGAACAGAAAGAGAAGGAAGGAGAATCATCGAAGCGTGCCATCAATATCGGCACAGTAATTATCTTTTTAAACGCGTTGAAAGAGCTTCGACGAGTTTGTTAGCGTTAATCAGAGCAAACGTATACAAACGCGTTTAAATTCCTATTTTAAAACGCGTGTGAACTCAATCTGTGTCTTTTCTTGCGTTGGATCTCGTACCACAATTGAAACGCAATTTATTTGCTATCCAACAAACACAGTAAAATCGACGAAGTAGATAAAACGCGCTTCACGGAGGTATGAGTAGTTGATGAAATGTCGAAAACGCGTTTCATTACACTGATTTCCGAAACACAACTGAATTCATCGTTATATAGTAGGTACTGTCAATGAAGAGTGGTCAGATATGCAGCGAATCTAATATTTTTGGTTTTGAAGTTTTCATTTTCGTTTTGAAATACGCCGAAAAAGATTATATTTTCAAACTAAAACCAAAACTTCAAAACTAGTTTTGATTTTGGTTCATGCCTAAGAATGATAGCTATCGAAATCTGCATTTATATAAAATAGGCTTGAGTACAACGGAGTTTGCTCTAGTTAAAATGCTACATTGCACTAGGAGCAAAGTCTTTGTGTTATATTTCGTCTTTGGAAACTGTTAATTAGTGGTAGAAGAGTCCCTTATTAATTCAGTTAAGTAAGAAAGAAATTTATTTAGTTTTATTGAATACGTATATGATGTCCATGATATTTTTTCTTTTGAATTCTAAANCAAAAAGAACATTTATGTTTATTTCTGTTTTCTATGTTTTATCGTATTCTTTATTCAATTGTTCGAATAGAGTTCGGAGCTGGGTTAATGACCAGTACAGAAGAAGAATGATAATATTCACACTTTTCACCTATTGTCAAGTGTGACATAAATGAATAATCATTTTTCTTTAAAAAAATAATCACATTTCCCATGGGATTAGGAGCTCATCCTATCCCATTAGGAGCCCTGTTAGGAATTTATTAAGTTTGTTATTATGCGCATTATAGTATATATAGAATATAATCGACAATTTAGTCAATTATTTTTTATTCAAATGAATAATACAAGGTTAGTATTTACAAAGAAGAAAAATATGAATAAAGGCTTTGTGAACCAACTAATGGTTCATATGTAACTAGAGATTTTATTTTAGTACAATCGAGATATGTCGCATCATTTGTATGCTAATTTATTGCTGTTGTTAATGTTTAATACGCAATGACGAGATTTGCCAAACAAGGTAAGCGAGTGGTTTTTGTCAGAAAGAAAGAGAGATCTCAATCAACATCCATCCATCCTGTTTACGTTTTTTCTCAGTGCATGTTTCCTTCAGTTATTAGCGACATTTTTAATATCAAGTTCGTTTAAATAATATAGCGATCTGTCAATGAATTATTTTTCCTTTCCTTCGAAGTTCATAGCAATGGGCGGTGTTCATTTCGTGTTGAAGCATCCCACAAGGATGGGTATTAACATGAAAAAATGAATTACCAACATTTTTTTATCAATTCAACGGAATTTGCTTGGTTTAAAACATTATTGTGCCTGTTTAACATTTCATCAACCACGTTTACTATCGACAACAATAACGCATGAATTATTGAATAGAAATAATACATGTATGGATGAAGCTAATCATACAGCACATTTATTATCAAAGATACAAAGATAGGCACAAAAATGTCGACCACATGCGCAAAAATTGGATTGCTTCAAATGGTTTAGAGTTAGAGCAAGTCTGAAGTAGAAAATATAGAAGAAAAAAAGCAAAGAAACTGTATAACGTCCAAAGTTAGTATTGTTTATTCAAAATATTTAGAATTGTCTTGGTGTTGCTTATTCAATATATGTCGAACCATCATCAGATATGCGAGTTGAAAAACTTGTTGGAAATATCCTTGATAGTGTTAATGTGCCAACGCCACGTTTGCTTTTGTAAAGGTTAATAAAAACAAGAAAAAATCTGATGTTTTTTTTTCGCCGAAATAAATAGTTACGCAAGCTTTTCATTTTTTTAAAGGTGCTGCTGATCGATATGTGATACAACCAGCAGCTAGTCCTACAATACGTTGTACTGGTCCATCTATAGATAATCTATTTAAAGAATTAGGTAAAATACCTTTTCTTTTCTCATATATGCTTTCATACCTTCATGTTCATCGGAACGAGTACGATGAAAAGGAAAGAACGAAAAAAAGATAGTTCACAGAAAAATAGAGAGAAGGAAAGACCCAAGCTGTTTCTGCTGGGAAATGCATTTTACAAATTTTTCTCGAGTCTTATGAGTGTACCCCTTGGAGAAAATCATCACACTTTAGTCAGTTTTTCTGCTCTTTCGAATGTGATTTCTATTCACTAAAAACGAGATCGAAAATTTCGAACTAGATGCGATGCAGAGAGAAATGAACTGTCATGGCGAAACAAGAAAAACGTCGAGCCACGTGTTTATTTATTTTTCTACTAATTTTAACTTTCTTGCTTGTCTATATAAATTTGTGTATTTCTACATATAAGTCATTTAAAGCACAAATAGTGAATATTAACTATACGATAATAGAAGTGAGTGACGAATCGTTAGAGTAATAATATGCCAACGTCATTTTTGTAGGATTTATTTATTAATAATATGGCTTCTGCATCGAGCATCAACGAACTGAAAATATTTTTGAAAGTTTCAAATGATCCCAACGGTGTATTACACACACCATTTACAACTAATTTACAACGTTATGAAGCTGCGTCAAGCGGTAAAAAGATACGTGATATTGATGAAATACCACTAAAAGTACCGTACTATACACTATCTCAAGGAATTATCATTCATTTCTCTTCATTGGATACTAAATCAGCAAACCGATGCAAACTAAATATAAAATTGAAAGATAGTCAAGGTTTTCAATATGTAAATCGAATACCTATTATGTTGAAACATGATGGTACTAGTAACATGAATGATCCAGAATTACAACGTACATTTCATTTGCTTTCTGATCATAATCTACGAACAAAAAATGGCGATGATGACCCAGTGGCTACGTTTGATGAAGCTACGTACTTTGAACATTCATATTTTTTTTCAACTTTTCTACCTTTATTGAAAAACGATTTTATTTACGAAAAAAAAGAAAAAAAGTGATTCCACCAAAGAACATAATTAATCTTCGATCCTTTAATAAACATATTAGTTAAATAGTAAAGGATAGCATTTATCTTTCTTTCATTTCAAAGAAAAGTGTTGGCGAAATTTTCTATGGTAACATTCATTTCTTTCATTCGTAATCTTAACAATATGATTAGTTTCAAACATAAATCTGAAACAATGTAATAAAAACAATAATTTATCAAATTCAAATGGTTCAATATTAATCAAATGTAGATGTCGAAGTAATGTTGTCTGATTAGATTGCAGAGATGATGAAACGAGTGACCATCCACCGATGGCATTGTTTAATGTTATGCGCAATGAGACAAGCCGACGTCCTATCAACTTTAACATATTTTGACAAAAATTATTGAACATTGATAATGACATTGAATTGCCATAAATACATATGTGCCATACATATTGATGTCGAATGATTCTCGAAAAGCGTTTATTCAATGATAAAAACGATTGAAGAATCTCGGCAGGCGATAAATATGCAACAATTCCAAAAAGAATATCGACAGGTAACAATTCAAATTTGCTATCGATCATTCTTTCTTCCCATCCCTCTCGTTCATCCATATCCATGTAACTTTTTTTCGAGTCGTAACGCGTCTCTGAGCGTTTGTGAACGATGGCACTTAACGCATCAGGACGCATTTAGAATGCAACATTTTCTGGGGTGCAGACGCGTCCAGGGTAACCTGACGCGTCTACACTCGTTCAGTATCTAAACGTATCATAAGTCGTTTGAATTTGAAGACGCGTTAGTACCCGTCCAAAATGCAACATTTTCAGGCGTGGGAACGCATCCAAAAGTAAACGCGTCTGGATACAGATGCGTTAGAACGCGTTTACTTTTTTCCCCGAATAAAATTAAAAATTATCATCACCCTGTGTCGGAATTGAGCCGACACATCATATTAAGCTATGCTATAACACCCATATACCATGATCAACAGAGTGGTAATTTTTCCAACGATAGCGTGAACCAAGATTTGAACCCATGAACATTTGATTACAAGCCGAACATAACTTGCACTGAGTCATACATTGCTTGATATTGTTATTATCTTCATAAATCACATGAATTAATCGTTTTACAGTGCTTTTGACTTATCTTGCTTTTTAAAATAAATATATTTAGGATATTTATTTTAATGAAATCAAGATAAGGCATTCTTTTTATCCATGAAATAACAGTGGGAAAAAATCAAAATTTTGGTTACTGAAAAACTTAAGAAAAACAAATATCTGTCTTTGAAGGGTATAAATGTACATATACGCAGTATAATCATATTAATTAAAAATTTTTCCATCAGAATAAACACACTATAACAAGTATTTTTATAGAAAATGAGAACGATATATCACAACACATAAAATAAGAGAATCTTGTCTGTGTATTTTTTCGTAACCGTCATACTGTAATCTTTTAAGTCATCTATCGGAAATAGAATGAATGATCTTATAATGTTAAAAATTTTTTCAACTTACTTAATTTGTTTTTTAGAACAGAATATTGATTGATATTTGAATTAAAATATTTAAAAAATTGTTTGTTTTCAATTTTTTAAATAGTTACGAATCGTAGCTTACGATGCATTTTTTTCGTTTTTCTTAACTTCATAAAATAAATTTTCCTTCAATGCACTGTTCATCATTATAAGGAACAATAAAGATAATTATACTAAACTCAGCATCAAAGAACATTTTTGTGCAGTTTTTATTTAAAAAGCAATTGAAAGTAAAAACAGAATATGCATATCTAATTTACTTGGTTATTTACGACAGTGATGATGAAAATCCTAACAATAATGTCAAGATAATAATCTATCGTGTGTGCAACAGAAAGTACTTCCGAGTTTAAGGAAACAGAAGCATACAGTTGTATTTATAGCCTAATATTTTCAATAAAAGTTTTCGAATAGAAATCCATTATCACAGAAATACTCATTTGATAAAATCAATGGGTTAAACCAAACCTTATTTGATTTAATCCTCAATATAAAAACGAAGACCAAATTTTAGAATTCAAAAGAAAAAATATCATGGACATCATATACGTATTCAATAAAACTAAATAAATTTCTTTCTTACTTAACTGAATTAATAAGGGACTCTTCTATCACTAATTAACAGTTTCCAAAGACGAAATATAACACAAAGACTTTGCTCCTAGTGCAATGTAGCATTTTAACTAGAGTAAACTCCGTTGTACTCAAGCGTACTTTTATATAAATGCAGATTTCGATAGCTATCATTCTTAGGCATGAACTAAAATCAAAAATAGTTTTGAAGTTTTGGTTTTAGTTTGAAAATACAATCTTCTTCAACGTATTTCAAAACGAAAGTGAAAACCGGAAAACCAAAAATATTAGATTTGCTGCACGTCTGACCACTCTTCATTGGAAGTACCTACTATATAACTATGAATTCAGTTGTTTCGGAAATCAGTGTAATGAAACGCGTTTTCGGTATTTCATGAACTACTCATACCTCCATGAAACGCATTTTATCTACTTCGTCGATTTTACTGTGTTTGTTGGATAGCAAATAAATTGCGTTTCAATTGTGGTACAAGATCCGACGCAAGAAAAGACACAGATTGCGTTCACGCGCGTTTTAAAATAGGAATTTAAACGCGTTTGTATACGTTTGCTCTGATTAACGCTAACAAACTCGTCGAAGTTCTTTGAACGCGTTTAAAAAGATAATTACAAACGCCTTTATCTGCGTTTTTATCATAACTCGATACCGAAACGCATCAGGACGCCAAAATTTGCAACATAAATGCATCTAACTGCGTCTAAAATGCGTTTCGAGATTACATGGGGCCGAGAAGGTAAATGTCGAAAATTGAGATTTTTGATAATTTTAAAGAAAAAGAAAATCTATTTTCTAAATTGGTGTGCACATATACGTCATATCCATGTTCGGTACAAACTCAATACTTTTTTGATGAGGACATTTTATTGCATTTGAACATATATATTGGTTAAACGATAGTAATGGTTTACTTTTATTAGTCGTTAAGAATAATATTTCACTGTCTATTGCCAACGATTGAAGAGAAAATGATTTGTTAGTTGTTTTCGCCAGACTGATTTATATATATATAGTCTACGCTAACAATGAACAAGTATATAATACAGACGAGGAGGCCAACGAATTTAACTTATCCCACTAACAACCAATACCAACTCAAAAACAAAATTTCGCTATCTATAGATCTCTTTTTCATTCTACGTTTTCCTTTTCAAAATCTTTCTATTTTTTCCTCTAGCAGTTTTTCTTCGACACTTTTATTAATTATACTTTTTCATTTCGACATTTTGCATTCGACCTTAACTTTCTCGACGTTTTCACCTTCTGCAATTACCAGTTTCGGCATTTTCCTTTTCGGCATTTTTGTTTTCTGCCTTTTCCGCCAATTCAGGTTGTGGGTATAGTAAATCGCATGTAACACATAGCATCCACACCCTCAAGAAAACATGATTTCTTCGCAAGTGAAATTTTTATTTGTAAACAAAAGCGTATTATTTGCACTACATATTTAGTAATTGCGTTATGGAAATGTTTTTCATGGAGAAGAAATAAATAATTTGTATTCAGATTTAAAAAAGCAGCAATAGCAAGTCTAGTGAGGAAAGTTGGGAATAGTAGAAGAGATGGCATTTTTTTGGTGCTGGTAAGTTTAAGGAACTGTTTGGACAGACGTGCTAAATTTGACATTGACTAAAAAATAAAAAATAAAAAATAATATATAGAAAAATATAGATCAACTTCGTTTTCTCTGATCAGTAGCGCTTACGTCCGTTTTGATACAAATTAGTATTCCCTTTGAGTTAGCCTGTGGAAAAAGTGGATTGGAATTTAACACGAATTTATTTCATAAATGTAGCATGCATAAAATACTAAATGTAAATGATTCTGCTCAGTCTACGAAGCTCCAGGACTACCTAAAGCTTTAGCGATGAGTATATTTAACAATTGCATAGATCTTAGGACGCATAAAATCTATTTCGGCTTTATAAAAGATCAACATAATTGTGCCTACCGTAATATTAGGCGTATATATGCGATATGATATGCGTATTATAGTAACAGAACCAGAACGAAAAAGAAAATTTTAGTTTGTGTAATGAAAATTAATCGGCGCAGAAACGTGGGTAACCTTATAAGAAACGAATATATGTATAGTTGAGTGTGAGGAAAGGGAAAAATGGTCATTCCTCAAATTATGCAAAATGATATCAAGGAACTGATGATTCAGAGAGAGTTTGAAGTGGAAGATCTCATAAACTCATATAATTTATACTACTCAAATCCGAAATTCCAACTAATCACTAAGCAGTATTTCCTTTTTTTGGGCTTTCCGCGAATTAAAATCAATTCTTGGTTACTTCTTTCAAAAAAAAAGCAGAAATAAGAGTAAATTGCACAGTTGGATAATATAGAATTTTATACTGTCATAAAGCACAAAAAAGCACTTATTCTGAAATTTCGACGAGTACACTTACTTAAGATAGGGTTTATAGGTATATATCTATCATAAAATCTTAAACAATTATCATTATTATGATTAACACAAAACGTTATATGAAGTCTGTGACAGCAGTGTTATCTGTAAATTTTTTTTGCAGCTGCATTACATTTTGTGAACCACGATCTGAAAGGAGGGTTGAAGTATATACGGTAGAACTTTGGGCCTTGGCCCCCCCCCCCCCCCCCCACAGACCGTTACAGAGAAATTAATTAATCAGTTAATTGGTTAATTAATTAATTATTAAATTTCTCTGTAACGGTCTGTGATGGTTTCTGAAGTCTTTGCAAGGGGGAAAAAGCGGACCCCAGGATCCAGTGGAATCTGTCGGGATCTATTGGGACCCACATGATCCATTGGGATCCGGGGTCGGCTTTTCCCCCTTGAGTCTTTGTAACGGCCTGTGGTGGTTTCTAGAGACTTCATACATCGTAATACAGATTTAACAGAGAAGCTCCACAGACCATCAGTGACCGTGATAGTCGAATTTTAGAAAAGAAGTTTCATCGTGTTTCACATTTTAATCCCACAGGGAGTGCGCTAACAGCTTTTTCTGTTCTCCACACTGAAAAAAAGGCATAAAACGAAACCTTGAAGGTTCCGTGGCGTTTTACTGTACTATATAAGTTTCCGTACAATCATGGAAAACCTGTATGAGGTTTAGCAATATCCAAGGTTTAGTAAAAATACTTTTAAAAGTTTCAAAATTTTGGAAGGTTTCGTTCTGAATCTCTTGGAACTTGCGATACCCAAGAGATTTGGTCATAAACCCTTTCGAGTTTCGTACACAAAAAGGTTTCGTAATATACCTCTTCGTGATAACTCATTGGTGGCATATATTGTACATAAGTGACCTCTATTGACGTTCCATACAGCACAACTAATGATATAACTAACCGGTGCTTTACTAATTTGGAAAAGTATAGTGCAAAACCAAAATCGGTTTTCTAGTTTTTTCGAACTTGTAAAATATTTTCACAGTTTAAAAAATCTTGAATACTTCACAAAACAGACCGTGATCTAAATTCAAACTATCTCACGTCAGAACGATGTTTCCTGCGATCAGGCTGGACCGATACAATATTCAACAGACTGCAAAGTGAGACATTTTATT